TGATGACGTCAGCGACGCGGTTTAATCGGGCGCGGTTTAGTCGAGCGCGGTTTTGACGGGTCACGAGTTTTACAGTCCCTTCCAGACAGTGGTGGGATTCAAAATTTTCTTGCTGCAGGTTCTTTGGGCGTGGTATGGCTTTGTGGGTGTGGTAGGGGAAGGATACTATACAATCCCCATTCTCTCCCCGCTCCAGGGGAAGGATACTGCGAAATCCCCATTCCCTCCCGATCAACTGGGACTCAGGAGGCAGAGAATAGATGGGGCCAGGGACAGTCAGAGGTGGCATTTGCCAGTTCTCCAAACTACTCAAAATTTCCGCTACCGGTTCTCCAGAAGTGGTCAGAACCGGCTGAATCCCACCTCTGCTTCCAGCCCTAGGATTCTACACATAGCTGGGAACAAACAGCTTTGCAGACAAAACAGCACGGAGTGCAATTTTAATTAAAACTTTTACACCCTGAGAAAGTAGCAACCCCTGGGAGGTTTTCAGCATCTTCAGGGGTGTGAATATTCTTTGACACACACAGCTGTATCGCCACTGGGCTGAGTGGCAGCCCCCATCATCTTGCTGAGACCTCGGAAGACCAGCTGGCCGGGGGCCTCACAGACCCCGCAGAGGGAGGAGGAAAGGAAATCAGTGTGCAAATTTCCCAGGAAACCAGTCTCCCCGTAGGGCAGGTGGCCAACGGTTCCCAAAGCCTGCCTCGGCTTCTCTCTTCTCTCGATGTGTCAGTGGTTTTGTCTTTCCTGGCTCCATTCCTTCAAGATGTCCCCGGCAGCTTCCAAGGTCGAATCCTCCTGAGAGATGGAAAGAAAAAAGGATGAGCTTTTTAAAAATAGAATATATTTTTTATTGAATCATTATTTCGAAAAAGTGATAAATTAAACATGAAACAGGATTAGGACAGGATGGGAAAAAGGCAGAGGAAGGAGGAAGGAAGGAAGAAAATGGATGAAAAAGGGGAAAGGAAGATTTTGATCACGTGAACATGGAAATATTGCAACAGTCACAAGTGTGAGGAATGGTCGGTTGAATGCCACTTTTTTGACTGCTGCTGTAACTTTGAATGGTCGCTCAATGAATTATTTCTTAAGTGGAGGACTACCTGTATATTGGTTAAAAAAAAATCCCACAATTCCAAGAAGCTCTTTCTTTTTGGTCTGCCTAGAAACCCAGACTGAAAAAGTAACTTTTAAACATTATTTGCTGTTCACTGACACACACAGACACACAAACACACACACACACCGGATAACTTCACCTTTGCAAAGCAGAAACGCAGAAAATGTTCAAAATTCTTCTTCTGCGAGAGACTGTAGAAAGCAGAGACAGGGATGGAAGCCAGTCGCTGTAGGGGGAAGGACATGAAAAATCAGCACAAAAGGCAAAATACACTTCTCTCTCTCTAAAAAAAAAAAAAAAAAAAGAACTGAGAGCAGAATTTATTCCATGTTAGGATCATTAAAGTATCAGCCACTTTGTGAGTTCCACTCAAAAGGCAGTTTGGGAAGTTGCAATGTCTTCTTGTCCATCGTCCCTAAAAATGAGGTTTACCTTTCTCAAAGAGAGAGAGAGAGAGAGAGAGAGAAATGGGGCAAAATGTTCCCAGTCCAGAATAAAACATTAATAAAGGAACATTTTTTTTAATGTTGCAAGATGCTGAGAGTCATTGGATAGGAGATGGAGGGCAAATAAATTGCATAAACAAACATTTATTCCACTTCCTCTGGATGCATGTTTTAGAAATGAATTATTGGTGTTGCCAATTTATCATGAAGAAAGTGATCAACTGATCAAGGAGAAATGGGGAAGATGGGGAAGAAATGNTCAGTGGAACAGCTTGCCTCCAGAAATTGTGAATGCCCCAACACTGGAAGTCTTTAAGAAGATGTTGGATAGCCATTTGTCTGAAACGGTATAGGATTTCCTGCCTAGACAGGGGGTTGGACTAGAAGACCTCCAATGTCCCTTCCCACTCTGCTATTGTATTGTATTGTATTGTATTGTATTGTATTGTATTGTATTGTATTGTATTGTATTGTATTGTATTATCAACCTGATCTCCTGAAAAGCTACTTTGGCCAATGTATCCTGATGGCAGCCTAAACCTAGGGCTAAAAATAGACCGGACTACACTACAGCCTTCATCTTCCCCTTGCATTGCTGTAGATACTCACTACCACTTCATCTCCTTATATCTTGGTATGGGCATTGCTCCTGCTAATCTCTCTCTCTCTCTCTCAGCCCAACCCACTTGTTGTGGGGAAAACAGGAGGAAGATGTGTTGCTTATATTTGCTGCCTTCATTTATTTAATAAATTTAATAATAAAGGTGGAATAAAAACAAACAAACATGGCTTCTCTACTAGGGATAATTAAGCATGGTGGTTAAGGATCCTTTACTCTTAATCTGTTTTAATTCCCTGTTCTGCTCAGATATTCTTTGGTTTGCATGTTATAGGGCTAAACCCTAAAGATATTGAGTTCTCTAAATTAAGCCTAATCTTTAAAGTTTGTTTGCTTCCACATTAAAATCTTAATACAAATGAAGTTATATACATACCAAGTTAGTGAATTGTAACAACTTCTTATTAAAAATGAACAAAATGATATTATTTGTTAATCTGTGGAAAGGCTAAAATTATACCTATCTTCCATGTAGCTTTAAAGATGAGGAGTAAGTCAAGGCTGTGAGGGTGTAAATAGCAATTCTATTTTAAGACCATAAGTGTGTGTGAATATACAGGGCTTTAAACCCAAAAGCATTCTAGTAAGACTGTGTGTGTTTGTGTGTGTCTCTCTCTCTCTCTGTGTGTGTAGAAGCAAATAGATTTGCTTTCCATTTGCTTTCCCACACATTCAATCTTCAGAATCTCATCTTTTCATCTTTCTAGTAAATGAATGCTTGCTAATTCTTAATTTAAGAATAATTTTTCACCCGCTCCTAATCTGACCCAGAAATTCCTGTCAGTTTAGGAAAAAAGTGACAAGAAGGGATCTTCTTACCAGGACTTTGCATCTTCTCCACATCAAACCCTTCTTGCTCTGAGCGGCCCCTGTGTTTATAAAGACATGAAGCTGCACTATTGGGGGGCAAAGTTGACCTGCAGTTTGGCATGTAGCTGACATGTTGCTGCCTCTATAGGCTTTGCAAAAGCAACCTGTTTTACATTACTGGGGAATGCGACTGCTCTCTTCTACATCTGGGAGACAGATTGTGCCTTGGGGCACATGGGGTGGCAAGCAGGCAGCTTTGCTTCACTGCCTGACTCCTTGACTCAGTTCCATCTCTGCCTTTGCCTTTTCATCCCAAAAACTAATAAGAGAAAGGAGAAAGGGGAGGGGGAGGAACCAAGACGTGAATCCTTCATTTTTTGACAGTGAATAATTTTCTGAGATAATATAGGCCCAACAAAGAGTAGTGTTTAAAGCCCAATTAAGATGGAGAAGAACAAAGTGTAGAAGACTCCAGTGAGCACTTTCTCTCTTTAAGTCACACCCTATGACCATGTATTTTTTCCCACTACTTCTTTGTTTATGTTCTCTGAAGTTACTGACCCAGCAAGTATCTGCAAGGAAACTCAAAATGCAGAAATGTTTCTGCTGAGATTCTGTTTTGGCTTCACTCTTTCTACTATCTTGAATGAAATATTGTATTTCACTCAAAATATAATATTTGAAATTCATTCATTCATTCAAATATTCCAAATATTGGATTGTACTTTTGGTGGAATGCTAGTCTGCAACCAAGGTGCATTGGTCTGCAACAACTTTTATAGTATTTATTATAGTAGAAGATACTATAGTATTCAAGACAGCAGCTCAATTGACTACAGTGGCTGAGAATCATGGGAGGGAAATCCCACATCACCGGAGGATGCCTGATCCAAGACTTATGGATTCATAAATGTCCATACGAGACTTCAATAGATGTATTATTACATAGATATAGCCCCATTTCTCTCTTTCCCGGACAAATATGAACCTCAAGAAGCTGATGGAGAATCAGGAATAATTTTTGTAAAAGTTTGTCATAAAGTGAATAGGGTAGATGGTAAGACAGGATGTTCAAAATCAGTTATGATGCTAAAGAAGGAGTTTTGCAAATAGATCCTGAGAGGCAGAAAGAGAGAGTGACTCAGTTTACATATCACATGATGTATTTGGTTCTGGCTCTGGGTGCTGTGGTAATTCAAGTATGATCCAGTAATACATGAACTAGATTCGCTAAGCATACATGAAGCATTGCAGTTAATAGAAGTGGCATTGGATTATAAAGCACAATTCATTCACATGGAATGATTGAATTAATAAATGTGAGAGGACATCAACCCTCTGGAACACAGATTTTATTCTGCAATTGTTCTATTACATTCAAGAGGTTTAAAGTCCAATCATCCCTGGATTATTTTCCTTATTGCAAAGGAAAAAATGATAATCTGTTAAAGAGCAAAAGATGGAATGGAATAGCTGTGCAAATTCTGTTGACTGTAATACTAGGAGTTGTCCAACTGGAAACAACACAGATGTTTATTAGAATAAAACTAGCTAATTTTTGTTTGTGATCAAATACTCTCTGTCCTGATCCTCACTTGAAAGATTTCTTGACCACTGGGCATGCCAGCTTGGAATGATGGGAAATTGATTCAGCTCATCAGTAAGAACCAGATTGGCCCAATTGGTGAGTCTAATTAAACCAGATGTAAGATGTTTTTCTTTCATCCATTTTTCTACTTTTCCTTTGGAAGCTATAAAACTGCCAAAGAAGAGGAAATCCTTTGACCTTTCCTGTTCCTTTCCCTTCTCCAAGCTGTATTAGCCTCATGCTCATTTCCATCTTCCATGGATAATATTTTTGCCTCCTGCAATAACTATAAATTGTTGGGGATAGCGGAAATACTTGTCTCCTGATTCCTGCCTATTTGACCACCTTGTGAGAATAGCTCATCTGTTTTTGTTTTTCCCTATTTGGTTCCCATCATGCTTCTTCTTTTTGTCTCCATCCTTTTCTATGATTTTTAAACTCTTCAAAAAGATAGCTGTGTACCATCAGGAAAGAGAAAAATGCAGTGTTAATGCATAATTTATTGGTGCTGCCAATAAAACAAGGAGATATCACATGCCCAAGTGAGGTTTCCACAAGTTTGGAAGATGGAAAGGGTTTTTAATTACTTAGCCCATATTTTGCCTATGGTTAGTGACAAAATTACCTCCCTGCGACCAATTCGATCTCATAGATTGGGCCTCCTCCGTATTCCATCGGCCAGCCAGTGCCGGCTGGCAACTACAAGGAGGAGGGCCTTCTCAGTAGTAGCCCCGACCCTTTGGAACGAGCTCCCCGTGGAGATTCGTACCCTCTCCACCGTCCAGGCCTTCCGCACAGCCCTTAAGAACTGGCTAGCCCGTCAGGCCTGGGGACAAGGATAGCCGCCCCTCCCGAATGATGAATGTATGTTGCTTATTACTTTTATTATATGTGTCTATGTCATTGTTTGTGTTCCCCCTCCCTGATTTTATGTGAGCCGCCCTGAGTCCCCTCAGGGAAAAGGGCGGCCTACAAATGTTAATAAAATCTAAAATCTAAAACTCTATCTGCACAGGGTGGTGTATTGTTTTGAACAAGTAATTGTGCCAGATACTTAATGCTGTTGAAGTGAAGATAATGGCCACCATCATGTTGCATGTAAAAAAAGAGATTGTGTAGTTAATTAATTAATTAATTAATTGTGTAGTTGTGCCTGCCCTCTTAACTTTTTGGACTCCCCTCTGGACACTCCAGCCCAGTGTATTTCCTTGAACAGTATGAGCAAATCATATGCTTACATTTAATTACATGCTTCATGAACTGCATTGGTTGCCAATTGGTACAATTCAAAATGCTGAATATCACCTATGATGTTTTCAGTCTGCAAAGTTTTCCTAACAAGAAGCACATTCAGAATTATTAGCTCTAACTTTATTGTAAGATTACATTAAGAAAGTCTTTCAACTCCATCTGAAAGTAAATCTCTCCCCATTGTATTTACAATCCAGCAAACTAGGAAAAGTCCCCTCTGAGATGTTTGCCATTTCCCCATTTCCTTGTCTGACCTGTTCCTGGTCTGCAGCTCTTCCTTCTGTCTCCCATGGTGATTCTCACATACCATTACAGAAGACCTTCATGACGAACACTCAGTTTACTTGAGGGACCACATGTCTCCATATGTTTCTACCAGAGGTGGTATTCTACCAGTTCAGACCGGTTCGCCAGAGCCAGTAGCGGAAATTGCAGGTGGCCCCGTCCGCCCACCCCGGCTCCACAGCATTCCATTTAGGCCCCCTTTTTTAGGCAAAGCACATGTGCGGAAGGTGGAAC